CTAAATCTAAGCCATAAGAAGCTCAAGAGAAAAATTAAAAAAAGAGGAAGAGGTGTAATTAATCTACTTCAATGCAGCACTTACTTGGGACTTGCATGATTATGTTAAAGGATCTTTATGTATGAGGTTTAGGTTTATATAGGTTTCATCCATTACCATTGTAAGTTCCAAAATAAAGAGTCCAAGTCAAATTAGAGTCTATATTATTTACAAGTTAAAAAAAAAAAAACTTTCAATCCATTATAGAAGAAATTTAGGTAAATTTTAGTAGCTTTAAGCGCTTTTGGGGACAATGTGATGTAATTCTACCTGAGTACTTAGTCGCAACTTAACATAAATAATTTTTTTTTAATAATATATATACCTAATCTAATATTTTTGGAATAAACTAAAATCAACACAATGTCAAAATAGGGTAACACCAACTGATATTCTTCGTTTATATATTAGAGATCATTGGATGGGTGTGTCATGAAAATTAATTTTTTTTTACTTATTTTATAAAAAATAAAAAAATAATAGATGAAGAGGGAAAGATACATAAACTCATGTAATAAATTGAAGCACACAGGAAAGTAATAAACTGAAGCACCAAAGAATTCCATGACTAAGCCTTTGGATCATACAGGAAGTAAAAACAATTTTGTTTTCCCTCACAGAAAACAATTTTCCCTATCATTTCCCTCACAGGAAACAATTTTGGGACCAAACCCAATGAAATTAAGTAGAAAAATCATAAATCAATTTTTTCTACCTTTCCCTCACAGAAAACTATTTTGGGTCCAAACGCAATATGGGTTTACAAAATGAAACTACAGACTACCTATGAATTAAAATGAATAAAAAAAAATTTCTTACAAAAAAACTTTTGATGTTGCTACAAGCTACTATTGCAGTTGGTAAAATAATAATGTGGCTATTTGGTGTATTTCAAGCCAAAAGCTGATAACATAAAATAGAAACTAGAAGCACCCTTCCCTATTGCTCAATAATTCAATTTTTTCAGCTTATTTAAAATCTTTGTATCTTATAAACTATAACCAGAAACTGCATATCACATATTTTCAAAAATATAAAATATAGAAGGAAAAAAAAAAAAAAAAAACTCTATAAAATGTATACATTAGCTATACTACATCTCAATGACCTCCCTTTTCTTTATATATTCTCTGTATGGTGGGCATATCTTTAATTAGTGACAGCTAAAAATATGAACAAACTAAGCTAAGTGACCAAATAAAGTAATAAACTTAATTTGCAAGCTTATCTTTTGAATAAATTCTAGTAATAATTATTTATCTTGGTAGTGGAATGCAATTTGATTTAGTGACTTAGGCAATACAAACAAGAAAGAGAAGAAACAAAACAGAAACAAAACAAAAGCAAAAGACTTACCAGTGGCAGCATAGCATGAAGTTAAAGATCCTGCAATGTTCATGAAGCCCATGGCCTACATTTCCTTGTTTCCGTCAAGATGGTATCCTTTTATGGATGCAAAAGATCGACCAAACGCAATGGCTTCCTGAGGTTGGCACATGTATCAAGACACTTTTCACAAGAAATTCAAAATGTTCATGAATAATGTTGAAGAATAAATGGAAGGGAATAAATAGTGATGAGGAATGCACCGTGAGAGCGACAACTGAAACAATCAGTCCAATTTTAGCCATTTCTGAGGCATGTGGGCTGTTGAATTGCAACTGATGAACTGAGATTGGATTCATCCCTCCTTTGATGTGTTTCACTATTTTAACTCCATATTTATCAGCTCTTGTCAGGAAAACGATAAGAGTAGATAAAATAACAGACATCAATGGTGCAATGGCCGGCAACCAAAAGAGTTTCTTGTCCCTTTTGATGAAAACAACAGTTCAGCCACTGCACAATTGAAGCTACAACACAGCAGCTCCAGCAGAGCAGCAGCTGGAGCTCCAGTAGCTCCACAGCAGCACAGCCACAGCCACAACACAGCAGCTCTAGCAGAGCAGCAATCACAACAGCTCCAGCAGCTCCAAAGCAGAGCAGCAGCCACAGCAGCTCAGCAGCTTCAGGGCAATAGCTCCAATAGTCACGTGTGTATTATCAAGGCTAGGTAGTTAGTTTGTTAGAGTTTAACTATAGTTTAGTCAGACGGTTATGGTTAGGTTAAGTAGCTCACTCTTGTATATATATTATCTTCTCTGTATAATGTTGATTCATTTAGAAAATCAATAAAATAGATATTTTCTTGTTTTCTCTTTACCTTTTACCCATATCACAGAATCACAAAGTAAGCATACACTAGAATTGTGGTAGACAAAGAAATTGTATAGACCACCACCTATGTTTGATCTTGGTTATTTTTGTTTTTATGTGAAAAAATAAATAAATAAATAAAAAATAAAACAACAAAAAGGAAATCGCCAATTATGGTTGTTACTTACCAGGAATCTAGTAATTAAAATGAAAATAAGAAATAAGCAACCAAGGATGAAGCTGTAAGGATTCCAAACCATTCTTTATATGGTACAGCCTAAGAGAAGCACGACGAGTTTAAATTCATAAATGAAAAATCGAAATCTTCATGAATCAGATCTGCAACTGATCCATTTATACTATTTACAATTGGTCTTTGACTCTCTGAGACGTATGTCTAAATATAGAGAAGATTATTTTTTTTTCCTGAGTAAGAGAATACAGAGAAGAGCCAAAAAGGACTCTAGATGTCGATTCGTGCCCCAACAGTGACTAAGGCAAGCAAAATCATTAGTAATGATTATCATAGATTCTTCCAGTTAATAACTTATTTTATACATAATCTCCAAACACATTTTGATAAAACAGTGCAAATGCTCATATAATTCACAGTTAAGGCATCTTGAAATTCTAACCTCGCTGATAAATATAGTAGAAAATGCATATATGAACAAATTTCAAGGGCAGCTCTTTAAAAAATATATTTTTAAGTTAAAAAAACAAATTGACATCACGACAGTCTTTACCAGTTCCGTAACATCCGAATTTCCTTTTTAAAGTTAAAATTTCAATAAATAGAACTCAAAAATAAATAAATAAATAAATCAATCAATAATAATAATAATTAAATAAATAGGAAATTGGGAAGTTATCAATTAAATTATTTGCGAGACACCACACATTAAATATTTTAATAAGTGGTAAGTGATGTTTTATAGTTTGGTAGTGAAGTTTTTAGACGTGAACCTAACTTATAATTATACATAATTTTGGGAATCATCATGAATCACCAAAAGAGTGATAACCCTTAGAATTTTATAAAGCGAAATTAATTTAGGTGACTCATCATATAGGACAGGTGGCTTCACCCCTCAAATACCAACAAATTATTAACGTGGCAGGAAAGTAGGAACAACGTGGCTGCCATTGGCACTTGGTGAAAGCATGGAAATGAAAAAAAAAACTAAGGAGTGAAACATGTGTCAATTAAGGGTTAAACTTTGAAAGGTGAAGAAACGGGTGGCAAGGAGAAGAATTGTCCACATGTATATTGTTTTGCTTGGGCCTCACTTCAAGACATGTATAAATAGGAGGTTGGTGCTGTAGCATGAACCCAAAAATCTGAAGCAATTAAACAAACGTAAGGAGTTCAGATTATAGAGAAAGTCTTAGAAATGGGGAGCAAGCTTAGAAGAATTTAGGAGTAATTTTTCGGTGAGTTTTATTATACCTTGAGTTAGTATAATATGTTTTCTACATGTCTTAAGTTACCATAATATATTTTACGAATGTTTTGAGTTACCACAATTTATTTGATATAAATTATGTTTTATGGTTAGGTTAATATTTCAATTACGTGGATTATTTTCTGAACTCTATTTGTTTAAATTAAAACCCATGGATATGTTTGTTTAAATTTTAGAGATTATTTGGCAATGATTTTGTAAACAATTATTTTCTGTAAGTACCACCACGGGAGTCCCATGCCTTGGGGGAATAAAATAACCATTGGCCCGTGTTCGACCACTTTGTGGTCCCCTGTTTGTCATGGATCCATTTGGAATAAAATAACCATTGGCCCGTGTTCGACCACTTTGTGGTCCCCTGTTTGTCATGGATCCATTGACCCCTGTTCTAATTGTCACTCTAGTGACCCCTGTTCTGTTCTGTTCTGCACTGTGGTTATAGTTATTTATTTCAGTTTCTGTCACTTAATTAATTGTGTATTCAACTCAAATTATATTAATGTTTTAGCTTAAATAACTATCCATGGCTATTTTGTGCCCCATACACTCACAGTATAATATTTCTCATTCTGCTATGTGCTTATAGCTATTACCCCTTTCAGGTGACGAGGTTTAGCGGGATCAAGATGGAAAATGAATCGCTGTGTTGTTTTGTTTTTTTTTTTTATTATTTCTTTTTAAGATTTCTATCTTTTTATTATCAGACTCTTGTAATACAATGAAGCTCAAATGGCTATGTTTGTTTCCTTTTAAATAAACAGTTGGTACCCAATAATTTTATTTTAATTTATTTAATTTATCCACTTGCGCTACGACTACAAAATTATTTAAATTATTTTAAGTTTATCTTGTTACGACGCCGAGCCTTTGGGTACCGGATTTGGGTCGTGACATGTTCTGTGGTTAGAGAAGTTAACACAACAGCATTTGCCCTTAGAAGAAAAAGCTTCAAACTACAAAAAGATGACTCAGAGAGCACTTGTAATATGCCTAGGTTGTATTATAAAGAAAACCCTTTATTGTGAAGTTTAGTTGAACCTAGTCAATGCAGAATTAAGCAAAATAAGTCAAATTGAAGACACCAGCATGTTTATACTACGTATATTATTGCCCCCAGTGATAATAATTTGACTATATTTTTAACAGTAAAAATATATGTTAAATAACATGGTTTATATCACTCTATGACTGCATGGAACAACAAATAATGGGAATTTATCGCTCTTAATAATTCTCTTGTACAAAAGCTCGTAATACTACTGTTTCTTGCAGTTATAAATCATCTAAAATGTAAGATATTTTATGAAAATATTAAATAAAATAACTATAAAAAAATAAATAAACTCAAAAACTAATTTTGAAAGCTCAAAACCAAATAGAGAATATAAATGATTCATGTAACTGTAGACACCTCATTTTTGACCGACCTTAAAACTCAAACGTCATCGATTGAGCGCTCGGCGATTGCGCATGTTGTGCTCGTTTTGAGGTTACGGAGTCTCGGCTGAGAGCCTTGCCTCCGGACTTCGGGACTCTTTTGTGCTTTGCCTCGGTTTGCGAACAAGGTTCTGTTTTCTCTTCTCGAAGGGAGGGAGAGGTCTCGTAGACCATCTCTCAGTGGCCGTAGGCTACTTTTCGTGGTCGTAGACCACTGTTCCCGTTTGGAGACTAGTTTTCGATTTTCGGAGCCATCGGTCGTGCGCCTCGGTTCGGGACCGCTTAACTTTCTCCGTTTGCTCCGATTTTTGGCACACACTTTGTTTCCTCTCTCTAGAGGGACACTGTGGCCCGGTAGACCACCTTCGTGGTCGCACGCCACTTTCGATGCTTAACAGCCTGTTTTCGGGGCGCCCGGCTGCGCATTTTGACCCCCCGAACCCTCGTTTTGCATCCGTGTTGGTTCATTTTTGGCATGAACGTTGTTTTCATTGTTTGGAAGGTGGTACAAGGGTGGGAGATCACCTTTTCTCCTTGGAGACCACTTTTTTCCCGCCGGCCAGTTTCCTTGACAGGTAATTGGTCTCCCTCATTTTTGGGCCACAATTGCTGGTCTCCCATCACACCACTAGCTTACATTTAGTTGGGAGACCACCAAATGGGCTGGCCGACCACCTGACCCTTTTGAACTGGCTGGCCGACCACCTGAACCTTTTGAACTGGTCGGCCGACCAGGGAAAGTGGTCGGCCAACCACCTGAACTGGTCGGCCTGCCTCCCTCAGTCTTGTCTCTGTGAGTTATTGCCAGTTGTGCTAGCTGGAAAGCACAGAAGGGATCCTCCATACACGTGTATGGAGGATCTTCAAGCTTGTTTTTAGCTTCTTTGAGAAGCTTTGGACCCTCTTGGCTATAAAGGAAGGCCTTTCCTTCCTTGTAGAGGTTCAAAAAATTTGGTTAAGGCATATACATACACCCCTCTCTATCTCTCTATGTCAAGCTCCAAAGTCCCTTGTTCTTGCACCTTTACATACCACCTCCTAGCCTAACCCCTCACTCTAAGGTCCTTGGAGCTTGTTTTCAGAGGCTAAGGAGTTACTTTTTTGGTCCAAAAGCTGCTGGAGTTCTTGGCTACAAGGGTAACACCCTATTCCCCATTTTGGCCTTTATTTTGCTTCATATCTTAGCTCTATACTTGCAAGCATATTTGGGCTTTGTCATAAACTAAAAAAAGTCTTATTTTGAGGTCCTTAACACGTTTGTTTAAGATCATTTTTCTGTTGGGGGTCATCTACCCCCTTGCATGCTTCATTTCATCTTGTTTTGAGCCATGCCTTAGGGCCTTGGCATTGGCCTTTGTTTGGCCTTTTAGCCACTAAAATTCAGTGGATTTTCAGTGGCTAGCATGCTGTTTTGAGCACCAAAATCAGAGAGGGGTGACCCTCTCACCCCTTGTCTTATTTACTAGCATATTTGTCCTAATAAAGGAGCCCTTATTTGCATGCTTCCAAGTCATGTTTCAGGCCATTTTTGGTGGGTTTTAGGACTTGCATAGGCTCTTTCCAGAGCCCATTTTGCCATTTTGTGTGTCCATCTTGCATGTGTAGAACAACCCTCTTTATAGCCTATCAAAGGAGCCTATCATTCTTGCATGCATAGACCATGTTTCAGTGGGTTTTTGGGCTTTATTTGGCATGTCATACCTCTGACTTTTGCTGGTTTGATGGTCTCTTGATTGCCTCACATGCTTGTAGTGCAAACCCCCTTTACTAGTTTATATTGCATGCTATTTCGGCCTTTGATTCTAGCACTTTTTGGCCATGCTTTAAACTGATTTTGTGCATGTTTTGGACTGCCTTAGCTCTGTTTTTATGCCTCATGGTCGAATGATGCTTGCTATGCATGGTTGTAGTTCAATACCCTTGCCTAACTTTGAGTTTTGGAGCCTATTGCATGCTTATGTTGAAGTGTTTCCATGTTTTGGGGCCATTGTGCATCATATTTCAGAGCTTACATGTATGCCATATTCCCATGTTTTCCACTCATTAAATGCGTTTGAGAGTCGTGCTTGTATGCCTCGTTTTTGGATCATTGCATGAGCTTCATTTCCGTGCCTTTCGAGCCATCATTTTAGACCATTTTTCCACTGTCTTGGACCTGCCTAGGGTCTTTTGGAGGTTGGTTTTTCCATTTGTGCATTGCTTTATGTACCTCTAGTGTAATGCGCTTCACTAGTTTCGGTATTCGGGCCATCTAACATGCATTGTGTGACATGTTTGCATGATTCGGGACCATCTTACATGTCATTTCAGAGCTGAAAAATGTGTGTTTGTATGCCATATTTCATCCCTTGCCATGCTTTGATAGAGTGGCATTTGGTGCCTTAGGTTTGGTCCCTTGCATTTGTGTATGTTTGCATGTGTTTTGTTACCTAATTTCATCATGTTTGGCCACTGATTTGGGTGTGGCTGAGGCTCACCTATCTTGGTTTAAGTCCATCTTGCATTGTATATGCCATTTAGTCCATGTTGTTGCATGATTAACCATTGCATTGTGTATGCCTTGATCATTTCATTGTTAGTCTCCATGTGTGCATTGCGTATGCCATATAGTTTTCATGTGCATTGAGTATACCATTGATTATTTCATCGCATTGTGTATGCTAGTAGCATGTTTGCATATCATCATTTGCATGTTTGCATCATTTAGTGGCATTATGTTTAGGTTGCATGTTAGAGTTGCATTCATGCATGCCATGTATGTTGCATTGTGTTTGGAGTAGGGTTTAGTCCAAACATGGGAAACGAGGGACGTTTCGTACTCCAAGTGACGAAACGTGCCTTGATTCTCGGTCGCCGACACTCCGGATTACCCATGATGGAGTTTAGGCCTTGTTGTGTTTATATGTGCATTCATTTTACATCGAGTCGTGCAATCCGACTCCTCGGTCATCATGCATCGAGATGCATGGTTGGTGGCATCAGGATCGAGGACTACACACCCTGGAGCTTATGCAATGACGGGGAGAGTGGTCGGGCACACATATGTTGAAAATACCTTGCCTTCTCTCTCTCTTGCCTTTGTTGCAGAAAAAGCAGAAACCAGGAGGATGAACTGGTCGGCCGACCAGGTTTTCTGGCAGGCCGACCACCTTTTCTGGTCTTCACCACCAAGGGTGGTCGGCAGGTGGTCTCCCTTGTCCATAGCTTGGTCGGTAGCCTTCCCACAGCTTCCCTGGGTGGAGTTTCATCTCTCTGGGGCCTCATGTAACATTCTGAAATCAATTGCAAACAAAGGTGAGTTGGGGCATTGCGATGGATTTTCCGGCAAGGCGACTCGAGCATGCATGCATCCCTGTCATTCAAGACCGAGCTGAGGCAGTCCATTTCATGTAGCCTGCATGCTAGTTTATTTGCTTCCTTAGTTTAATTTGTTAATTAATTAATATTGTGTAATAATTAGCTGTAATTCGTTATTCATTCGGTTGTGTATTATTTATTCGGACCCTCCGAGAAGGGTAATGTTGTAATAAGTGTGTGTGTGTGTGTGTGATGTATGTCTTCCAACCCCACGCCATTTTCCCTTTTATTTACCAGCTTATGATGGTTAGTTTTAGGGCACGTTTAAATTAGCATCCTTATGCTCGTATGTTTGCATCCATTCATCTGTTTTGCATGCACCGGGCTCGGCACATCATGCTAACTGCATTGTATTTCAATTTCGAGTTGAATACATGTTGTTTGTTGCATTTCATATGCCATCTTAGAATAGCCGAGCCTATCTTAGTTGCATCTTGCATGTGTTGCATTAGCCATCTTAACATGAACTAGGATCATGCATTGATTACTAACTAGTTTCTGTTTTGGCTTGGAGTACTCGGTGAGTGTTTATGCTTTAGCATCGTTGCATGTGTGTGAGTGACTACCATGATAGTATGCTTGCCATGAGGCTATGTTCTTATGTAATATAACTGCCTGAATGCCTGTGGGTGAAGGTTGGGTTGCTTGAGTTGGAATAATTCGTCGAAACCCATGTTTTAGCCTACTTGCGAGTAGCAAACTTCAATCCATTTTCAAAACAAGCGGATATGCGATGCTTTATTCCAACTTAGGCAATCCAGTCTATACTTGTATGCTGTGCGCATCACATAGTAATTCTAGGTTAATAACCGGAATAAGAACGCATGTGTTTTCGAAAACTCTATATCATGGTTAGTAGAGGCCGATCTTTGATCGGGCGAGCGGGGGTGCTCACGAAGTGACCTTCCCCAATCGTACCCAAGTTCCCGAGCCGAGGCAACTTTGGTGATGACGGACACGTGGCCTTAGGCACGAGTCAGGGTTTCCTAAATCCCCCCCAAAATAAAATATTTAGGTGGTGACTTTGTATCTGGCAAAGCAGTCCATGTTTGGCACTTCTTTCTAAAAATCAGTTTTTCAAAACGATTTGCCGGATTTGGACTCTTTGATGATTCATCAGCTTTGCATTGCACTCTGCGAAATTAGATACAGGACCATGACATTTGAGTCCGAACTATAGTAAGCCCAATGAACAAAACGGGATTTCCTCCCGGGACGTTCGGGGACGTCTACAGTAACCAAATCCTTGGAGATGAATGAAAGCAACCAAAGTTTTGCAAATGAAAAGGATTCTTACCAATGTTTCACCTATTCTGACACAAAGGATTCTGTTAGAAGCACTAAAGACCATAGAGAATAAAATTCTCAATGGCAATCTTAATTCTAAAGGTGCATAGATTGTGGACTACAAATAGGAAAGTCATTCGATGTAATCTCAATCAATTCTAGGAAGATACTGCCCAACTGAATTTTGAGCAACAAATACTACAAGCATCTATCCTAAGAACTCCATAATTCTGGTATCATTTGAAACAAATTCACAAGCTTACAAAATCACTTATTTATTTATTTATTTATTTTTCCCTACTAAACACAGAGGTCTTTAAATACTTCCACAATTACCTCCACCTCCTCAGAGTTCAAATTTCCCACAGCAATATAATACAATGTAGACCACAAAACTTCCCGTTGGATGATACGATTTCCTGTCAAGGAAAAGACATAAAGATTAATAACCTAATCCACCACAAATTTTTTTAATCATACAATATATAACAGTAACATTACCCCCCTTAATACCGTGAATAATGTTCCAAGACAAAGTTGTATTAGGATACAATGGGTCCTCTATCCACTCAACAAGGCTTTCTCTACCTGCAGAATTGTCATAAGTAAGTGTGAAGAAACTAAAAACATTTTTGTATGTGTTGACGCTTAAAATGTTTACATGTGTATATCGATAAACTTATAACTTAAGAGGGTTCATAGTTCTTGTAATTGACAGATTATTTTTGAATATTTGCTATATTAAAGCTGGTACGGCTAGAACACAGTGTGTAGCAGTGGACATGAGATAAGTAACAGGTTTAGAATTCCTAGTGGGAGAAGAAACAAGATTTTGAAGCAGTTGGATTAGTTTTTAAATATTCCTATACATAAAAGTCAAACTTTCTAGAAACCTAAATATATGCTCACATATGAATAACAAAGATAAACTCCCTCCTACTCATTGATGTCACTCTCTGATACGATTAAACACGACTCATTAGACCATAACAATTCAATATGTATCAGATAACGTCTACATGCTGATCAGGATGATTCCAATGTGCTCCTTGAGGGACCTAAATGTTAGTAAACCATTTCAAAGCAAAATCAAAAAGGGTCTCCAGAAACTACATTTCTTTTAATCCCTGACATTATCAAAAAAGTGTTTATAGACTTGAAAAGTAGCATGTACAATTGCATCCACAAAAAAGTACTATTTGTCTTGCCATAATTTCATGATTGAAAAGTTTAAATTTACCTTGGGCTATTACAAGGGACAAAGGGGCAGAACTTGGGGATTTGACACTATGAAATATTCACTTTAGACCATTCGTTAAGAAAGTATGCCCATTCCTGCAATGCAAGAACAAATTTAATTGCAACTATTATTCAAAACATATGAACAGTGTCGAAAAGCCAGTGCTTCAATGTTACTAAGAAGACAAAAAAAAAGGGTTGAGAATCTAAAATACCTCAATTTTGAGTTCCTGATATTTCAAATAGAAAATAATAAAAACATTTAAATCCATGCAAGGATCATGAGACGTATATTTCCGAAGTAAGTGCATTTGTGAGGATAACTACAAAACAGTGGTTATAGTGGCTTAACAGTCTGATGATTCCACATTCCTAAATGCAAGCAATTAGAATTCAGTTAAAGATAATAAAAGCAAACAAGTCTATCAAAACAATACAAGTATAAAGACAGTATAATAGTCTTACAGAACAAGTGTTACTATCTAATGCAACTAGAAAATAAACCCAGATTGAGAGAGAAACCCAGATTGTGAGAAACCCATCTGATATTATCAACAAAAAATCATAATATGAATGAAAATCACCAAAATATTGAAATTAAATTAATATGGGTAATTCAAGTTCCATGAGAATATGGGTTTAAAAGCCAAAAAGAAACAAAATTTGAGAGAGCAGAGCAAATACCAGGGAGGGGGACAAGATGCATTGGCACAAGAAGCAATTTGAGGAGAGAGAAAAAGAAGTGAAGGAGCTCTGAAGAGAAGCCATCACGGCCATTGTTGCCATGACTCTCGAAGATTGCTACTTTTGCAACGAATGAGGACATTCTCTCTCTAACCCATCTCTCTACAATCTTAAACTTATCAAACCCATCCATAAAATCTTACTTTTTGTACAGAGACCTTCTCAAAAAACCCCAAATCAGGTTTTATATTCAACCCACTGTGTGATTGGGGGCTAATCAATGGCTCTGAAGATCGAAGGCTCTCCGAACCCTCAATCTCTTCTTTCACACCTACTTTCTTCTCAATACCCTCCCGCGACAGTGTTGCTGAGATTTTGGAGAAGTTTGGAGAGGATGCCAGGGATGAGAGACGCCATTGTTGTGGTTGAAATAGGGCGGCGCCAACACGTCGCCGTATGGGATACTGTATACGGTGTTACGGCCGCTGAAAGAGAGAGAAGCGAAAGAAACTAGGCAGGACTGGGCTGGGAGTGAGAATGAATTAGGGATTTCAGATACACAACCAAGAAGAGAAGAGAAGAGAAGCATGAGGCGACGATATATACCTTTGATTTCAGATACACAACCGAAGAAAAGAGCTGAGATGATCCTGGTAACCCTAGCAATTGATTCGGCCTTCATCGTCATCATCATAGAGAGAGATTGAAATGTTCCATTCTGGATAGAGGAAGGCAAAATAGTTCTTTTGGCAAAAAAAAAATTTAATATATATATATTTTTTTGAATGGAGCCCCAAATTTTATTTTGGCGCCTTTTTTTTTTTTTTTAAAATTATTTTAATCATACAATTCACGACATACATTGTGCGTCGTAAAAAGGAAATACTTTTAACGGCAGGCGATGTGTGTGTCGTAAAAAGTGCAATACTTTTAACGGCGAGCGTTGTGTGCGTTGTGAAAAGCATTCTCACTTTTTACGACTGGCGTATGTGCGTCATGTATAATTGATGTATTAACGGCACGCCATATGCACATCGTAGAAAGTTTTATTATTTACGACATGCATTGCAAGCCGTAAAAAAATCATCGTTATTACTATTCACGGCCTACGCAATAGACACGCCGTGGTTAGAAAAATATTTATGACGTGCAAAAAAAACAAGTCGTAAAAGTGAGAAACTACGACATTCATATATTGTATGCCGTTGATGTGGTGCCATAAAAAGTCAATTTTGTTGTAGTGAGGTCTCAAGCTACTCTTATATTTCAAATAGCTAGAATTACAAAACAATATATAATATCATAGTCTTTTACACACCCTTTGTTTAGGCAAAAAATATTTTTCATATTTTTTCATATTTGGTAAAATAAAAAACAAAAGTAATTTGAAAACAAGTTTATTTGGATAGAAAATATTTTCTATTTTTAAAAGGCTAAAAATATTTTTTGATCTAAAATTTTACTAATATCACCACACCACAACCACCACCACCCTCAGCACCACACTACCGTCATGCCACCACCTCTACATCCACTTTTGTTCCACCACCACCACCACCATCACCAAACATAGAAAACATAGTGTGAAACAAGTTCAATTCGGAGGCGAAACAATCACTTAAGATAGGGGAAGAGAGTTAGAAAAGTTATATTTACAAACCCAAATGGTTGGTAGTGAGATTGGCGGTGGATCATTGGATAGAGAGGTGGTGATGGGGGAGTTTGATGTTTTTGAAGAAGAGTTTGGATGATTAGAGGCAAAAAGTGATGAACATGATTGGTATTGGATTCTCTCTTTGGTGGCCGGATATTCTCCTTAGATCCTTACTTGTACCAAATTACTTTTCTAAAACACCTCTAACTTGATCATATGGTAGAGAACTTTGAAATAATTAATGATTGTGGAATCTTTAGTGAGGATATATGAAATGCGAAAAATAGAAAATTAAGTAAATAATAAATTATAAATCACATATACAACAATAAAAAGTTTATGTGGTTGACCTTAAAATTAACGCCTTATCTATAATCGTTACTATTTTACTATGATCAGAAAAAAGTAATACCAAAATACATATACAAATACATATGATTGGAGTGACAGGTCATAAATGCAAAAATACCCTAATTATTCCAAGTTGAATTTGTTGGCAAGTGATTACTATCTGCTATTTATTAGAATACTCACTACACTATCAAATCTTAGGAATATATTTGTAATTTATCCTTATATCTTTGTACATTAAAGTACTTTCCTTGATTTTTCTAGCCCCCATCACAAAAGGAGTAAAGGTGGGTTTTGTTGAAATGTAAGATTTCAACAATAACAATTTGGTTTTAAAGACGAGGAATTTATCCTTATATCTACCTTGAGGTTTCTAACAAATACAGGAATCTTCCTTGTGATTTCAATAATTACATAAACCTTCCCTATTTTAACTGACAATATCAAGATTCTCTCAATCCGTCAATTTTGCACAAACAATTTTACTTGATTTTATAAAATGACCATATTACCCTTTCATTTAAGCATGAAAAGACGAAAACACTCTTTGATCCCTAAATCTCTTATACCTACCTCACCATGGTCTGCCCTCTCTCTCTCTCTCTCTCTCTCTCTTATACCTACCTCACCATGCTCTGTCTCTGTCTGTTTCTCTCTCGTCTCCTCTTTCATCCCTATAATCTCTTCGGCCACTACTAGTACAACTGCCTCCGGTGATTCCAAAGCCCACTGGCAATTATTCTCCTCAACACCCTTCCTCTAATGGTGACCACTCTCCGTTGTCGCCCTCTCTTCTCTCTCATTCCTATCGCACTTGCTTGTCCATCACCATCACCAGATCTGGAAAAATAGAGAGAGAATGTGAGAGGAATCAGGGTTATCGTTGGGATGAGGTCTTAGAACATGTATTTGATTTATTAATGTCACACAAAGACCGCAATACGGTGTCAGTGGTGTGCAAGTCATGGTATAGGGTGGAGAGGTTCAACAGAGAAAGTTTATTCATAGGGAATTATTATGTAATTAGTCCAGAGAAGTTGATCAAGAGGTTTTCTAGAGTTAGGTCTCTAACATTGAAAGAAAAACCCCATTTTGCGAACTTCAATTTGGTCTCGCATGATTGGTGAGGCTTTGTGTATACATAGATTAAAGCCATGGCCAAGAATGGTGTTAATCTAGAGGTCCTACGCTTAAAGAGGATGCTGGTTTCCGATAAGGGTCTTGACTTACTTTCTCTATCTTTTGTAAATTTCAAGTCTTTGGTTTTAGTTCACTGTGAGGGGTTTACCACTAATGGCATCACTCCCATAGCTTCCAATTGTAGGTATATATACTAATATTATGTATACATCACAGTTTTGTTATTCCACTTCTTTTCTTGTTTTGGACATGACTACCAATTTTTTAGCTGATTTGCTTCATTCTTGACTTTGGTATATAAGTTTTTCTTTGACTGCCTTTTTTAGTACACGATATTGCTATGGTTTTGGGTACTTAATTTTCTTTAATTTTAAAGATTTAGCTGGAAGTTGGTTACTTTTAATTTGGGAGGTCACTATCAATTCCTTTATGATTTTTGGTTGGGGCTGCACATTCAAGCAAGATCAAAGCTTGATCTACTTTTGAGTGTGATGAAATAATAATATTGAAGCTCAATTTTGCTAGAATCGAGGGCTTGGGTGTTTGAATCTATGGATTGATCACTTCAATAACCATTTTTATCAACTTTTTTTTTTGTTATTTCATTGTCTTCATTCCTACTATATATGATGGGTTGGTGAGTCTTGGATGACTTCTCAGTTGTTCTGTGCTGGTCATTCATCTTGTTCAGTTGTTAAATTGGGTTTCTATTCTTTGTTGGAAATCCAAACAAATTCTTATTTGAATTTTAATGTGTGTGTGTGTGTGTATATATATGTATGTATCTTAAATTTAGAAGGGAAAAAAAAAGTTGTTTCCATGTTTGAATGTGTGTATATGTATCTTAAATTTAGAAGGAAAAAAAAAAAAAGTCGTTGCTATGTTTGAATATGTGTACATGTATACATATATCTATGTGTGTGTGTGTGTGTGTATATTTGTATCTTAAATTTAGAAGAAAAAAAAGTTGTTCCCATGTTTGAATGTGTGTACATATATACATATATTTGTTAAACAAATTTAGAAATTAATTTAATTGGATTTTCTTTTCTTTTCTAAAATCAAAATATGTTTGCATGTGTTTATATAAATGTATCTGTTCATATATATGAGATTTGAAAAATCAATTGAACTTAGGTATTGCTTTGTTTGAATCTGGGTATTTCTTTTTCTCAACAAGACTCTAGAGGACATTATGGGCATTTCAATATTTATCTTTGATGACATCAGCAGTTTCTATTAGTTGTGTGAACGGTAGTCAAAAAATGGGAAAATCTTGATATTGTCAATTAAAGTAGGAGAGGTTTCTGTACTTATTGAAACCACATGGGCGGTCCCTTTATTTGTTAGAAATCTCTGGAGAGGTAAAAATTATTTATAAAATTTCAAACCAATTTGATGAGAACAATCAACAAAATTCTAGAATGCTCAAATCTGCAAAACTGTCAAATTCAGATAAGTGAGAGAACTTCAGTTCAATAACATGCTTGGATAATAGGAATTAAAGAGACCACATGGATCAAACAACTTCACCATCATAAAATAGATCAATATATGGATAGAATTAAATATGCAGAAAAGCTAAAACTTAAGGATTTGATTATATTCATCAAATAGAACTACCTTTATATAGGCTCATACATAACAGAAAATACCATAAAAGTGGGCACTGCACAACACTACTCAAATGTGAAAAACAAACTCCTATAGACTAGGTAAATAAAAACAACTTGTAGAACAATACTCCATTATTAATCAAATCCTAAAAACTAGGACAACCAATTCCTACAGACTAGAACAACTTTAACTGACTCAATACAGAGAAAATAAACAAGCAACTTTAAATTATTCAACAAACTCTCCCTTAAATTGAAAGTTTTAATACTTCAGTTTAATTATGCAGTACTTTCTTCAAGCAAGATTTAAACAAATTTAGAAATTAATTTAATTGGATTTTCTTTTCTTTTCTTTTCTAAAATCAAAATATGTTTGCATGTGTTTATATAAATGTATCTGTTCGTATATATGAGATTTGAAAAATCAATTGAACTTAGGTATTGCTTTGTTTGAATCTGGGTATTGCTTTGTCTCAACAAAACTCTGGAGGATATTATGGGCATTTCAATATTTATCTTTGATGACATCAGCAGTTTCTGTTAGTTATGTGAATGGTAGTCAAAAAATGGGAGAATCTTGATATTGTCAATTAAAGTAGGAGAGGTTTCTGTAATTATTGAAACCACATGGGCGGTCCCTATATTTGTTAGAAATCTCTAGAAAGGAAAAAATAATTTATAAAATTTCAAACCAATTTGATGAGAACAATCAACAAAATTCTAAAATGCTTAAATCTGCAAAACTGTCAAATTCAGATAAGTGACAGAACTTCAGTTCAATAACATGCTTGGATAATAGGAATTAATGAGACCACATGGATCAAACAACTTCACCATCATAAAATAGATCAATATATGGATAGAATTAAATATGTAGAAAAGCTGAAACTTAAGGATTTGATTATATTCATAAAATAGAACTACCTTTATATAGGCTCATACATAACAGAAAATACCATAAAAGTAGGCACTGCACAACACTACTCA